CTTGACGAGGCCTTGTTTCTCCAAAACAAATCTCGTAGATAGCCCAAGTTACATCACGCTGTTCACAGTGACCAAGTTCTTGATCATGTCCAGCAATGATCTTGACATATCCACCTGGTGCCAATCTAACCATCACTGCAAGATTCTCCCAATCATTGAAACAAACTGTCCAATTCTTTTGCTCAATGAATTCCTTGGCAGGAACAAGAAGATGAGCTTCCTGGAGAATCACGACATGTGCACGTAAAAAGAAGAGCATGTTGAAGAAAAGGTTGTTCCCAAATTGCTCATTCTGAAGTGACATGGCGCTCTGTTTGCGTGGCCTCATTGCACTATCAAGTCCTTGGAGAAACCTTGGTGTGGTGTACTTCTGACCACGAACCATGTTGCCATAGTTCCAGGATAAAAATGTCAAGGACTCTGAGCTGGCCAATAAGTTAGTTCCATATGGTTCTTCTATTCTTCCCTTGAGGAACCTTCTGCACAGCTCTTCATAGAAGGTGACAAAGTCCCAACTGGGTCCTTTGGGACCATATGATTCCAGTTCCTTCTTGAGTTCCTTCTTCGTCTCCTCCAATTCTTCTCGAGCATGTCCTGCCCTTTCAAGGGCCTTTGGATCGACCTGATACTTGCCATCCAAATGAATGATGCGATCATCATTGATAAAGAATCTCTTCAAATCATGCTCTGGTTCATGTTCATAACAATCAGGTGGAGGTACTGGACAGATATTACGAATGGATCGAACAAAATCATTCTCATTGATCCTCGACTGATAATGAGGATGGGAAATCTCACCTTTCCTGAAACAAACATGATTCAGCAATCTTGCGTGAGTTTCCCTGAAGCATAGTTGATAAAGGCCAATACCTGGATCTCCTGTAAGCTCTCCAAGCAACTTCAAAGGTGAAGTATGCAGCTCATAGGTATTGTCAACTTTTGTTGTATCCTTTTCAACAACTACTTCAGATGGAAAAGATTCCTCGATTTCAGCCTCCAATTTCTTCTCTCCATCATCCTCTCTGACCTCTTTTATTTTCTCCACCGCCTCTTTCTTCTCTTCCATGGTTGCATCATCCTGAACTTCTTCGTGAAAATGAGGATCAGGTATTTTATTCAGGCGGCTTTTCTTAGATTTCGGCAGACGTAGAGTATCATCAAGGTTAGCATCCATCTCACCTGATGGTAAGTGCGATGCAGTCGAGTCCTCACCTATCTCTCTTGACAGAAAGTATGGTGTTGACTCCTCCTTGGCTTCCTCCTGGTCCACTTCCATCTTTGGTTCCTCTGAAGGAAAAACACCTGCATTCTCATCAAATATTTCTTCTTCCTTTCCAGGTTCAACTGCAGGATCTTCTTCAGGAACTTCCTCTTCCATATTCTCATCTTCTAGAAGTGTCCTACTTCCAGTATAGATTTCACCAGCGATAGTGGAGACTCTTGTATAAGGAGGAACTTCTTCACCTGCTTCAAAAGCTTGTTCTGCAACATCCTTGGTGAGCAAGTCCTCTACAAGATTTTCTCCCTCGGTCCTTGGAAGAGGTCCTGAGGTCTCATAAAAATCTGTCCTCTCTGAACTGAAAGCTTCTGTCGCCTTCTCATTGTCCTTTTGATCCCTGAACAGGTGAGTAATCTTCACAGCTTCTCCCTGTAGCACCTGATCACCTCCTCTATACTTGTCGACAATGGAGCGCCATACTGGAACATCATCATCATCAAAATCAAGCTCCATATCATCTGCCAACAGGTATGAGATGTTTTGAGCTGCCTGTTCTTCTTCTTCATCACGTTCTTTGGCAAGCTCCTCATCCTTCTGGATCTTGAAGATACCCTTCAGGATGTCTTGTAGTACCTTTAAGTTCAGCTTCGATGATGGCTCATACGTCCCTGAACTTACAGGCTCAACTACAACACGAGAGCAAGAAATCGCCTCCAAAAACTTGGAATTGTATTGGCGTTCAAACTCTTCCTTCTTGATCATCTCATACAAGGGATCAGAAACTGCAACACGCGCCTGAACATACTCACGAAGTTGATAGCATGCATGTTGCACAAATCTACTGTTGGAGTTGTGAAGAAAACTCTCTAAATGATTCCTGTCACAGTCAATCAAATACCACACAATTCTTGCAGAAAAACGGAATTTCTTGAAGTTCATAGCAAAATGTGTATGATACTTCTCTGGATTCCTTTCTGCTTGTAAGGCGGCCTCTGAAGTCTTGTAGGCTGGGAGATTTGTATCTGGATCCAAGATCATAAACTCTTCCCACAAGATCGAGTGGTCAAGAACCCACTTGGGAAGCACCTTGATGAAAAAGTCACAAACAAGTTCTGACACAAGGTGCATGACACGACCAATCTCTTCCTCCTGCTTGAAGCGATAGTGCAATTTGGCAAATAAAGGATTGTTGAATGCTTCCTCCACTGTGTTGCCAAAATTATCCCACTGAGGTTCTGGAATACCAAAGTTCCAACCCAGCAATTTGGGATCTCTGCACATATCCAAGAAGCTTGAAAGTTCTATGGATTGAATACCATGGTCTGTCAGAATTTCAGCCCAGCGGCGTCCATTCTCCCAAGCACGGATGAAGAAAAACTGTTGGTATCCAGTTTGTGCCAACTCCATCCACTGAGAAATTCCGGGTTCAAAACTCGGTGCATACGTCTTGGGGTCTTCCTCTGTTCCATAAACACTTGGACGTAGCAACTTGTACCTTCTACAAAAATATTCTCTCTGGTGCCTTGTCAACCTGTCCCAATCCCTCACTAGAATCACGTCTTCTCCAGTGCTCTGGAGTACACGTGTTCCTACACGATCATGGAGTGATACCATGCCAATGTCATATACCATCCATGGGTTGAGAACCAGGTTGCTGACATTCTGAATGAACCATGTCATCTCACGCTCAGCAACATGAGCAGAGTCATCTTCTTCATCTTGTTGAGGTTCTCCAGAAGTCCTGGCTGTTGAGCTCTTCGAAGTGATGTCCTTCCAAATGTGGTCAAAACGAATCACTTCCTCATCAGCCTTCACCAGTCTTGCCTGATCCTTGCTCAAAACTAATGGGTGAACCATAAACAAGGACCTTGATGTAACACCATCTCCATCGACAATCAACTTTGGA